AATATAGTAGCTCATATGTTAGTGATGATTTTATTATTATGAGCCAATATTTATGTGACATCTCTGATACCTTCATTTAGTCTTTGGTGTGAATACTGAACCTGATAAAATAACTAAAGCTACCGAGATTTATAATAAAATGAATGAAAGAAAGAAATCCCAGCAGATTTATACTAAACCAGGGACAGAAATGTCCCAGGTGTCCCTATTTTTGACCAATTTGATCCCTGCCAACAGTAAAGAGAGGCATAAACTGCAATTTGTTTACATAAAATACAAAAAAATCTGCTTAAAAACGACCAAAACACAAAGATAACGTGACTATAGTGACTCACGTATCCGTCATGAATGATCTCTGCTTAACAATTTTCCTTAATTATGCTCTCACTTCACAATTTTATTACCAACCACTTGGGATGTAACGATATACAAATCTCTGAAATTCTGGTCACCTTTACAGTATTTAAAGTAGTTTTGAAATGCATGGGAGTCTTCGGTCAGTGTAGGAGCTCAAACTTTCACCTGAATCTTGATTTTTAGAGATAAACACGCGAGATTTTGAGATTCTAATGAGATCCATGTATTATTCGTTCATTCGTTTTTCAATATAAAACCAAAAATAAGAAAACGAAAAAAACAACTGTTTTCTTCATTATTTGTCTCCAAAACCAAAATGAAAAACAGATAATGATTCGTTTTTTTAGTTTTCAATTTTGTGTTTAAATGAAAAATGGAAAAAATAGATAATGATCGTTTCCCGTTTACGTGACTTCCGTAACTACGATGTCGGACTGAACCAGGACCGATCCAGGTCCGGGACCAGACCGGAACCAGACCAGGACTGAGATCAGAACTGAGACCGGGACCAGAGCGCACTCCGAACTTTGACTCCGAGCCTCAGCTTCGAGCTCCGGCCCTGCCGCTCTGAGCCTCCGGTCTGGTCTCGGTCTGGTCTCGGTCTGGTCTCAGTCCCGGTCTGGTTCTAGTCTGGTTCCAGTCTGGTCCTGGACCTGGATCAGTCCTGGTTCAGTCCAGCATTGCAGTCACAGAAGTCACGTAAACGGGAAACAATCATTATCAGTTTTTTCCATTTTTCATTTAAACACAAAATTGAAAACTGAAAAAACAAATCGTTATCTGTTTTTTTTTTTCATTTTGGTTTTGGAGACAAATAATGAAGAAAACAGTTGTTTTATCATTTTCTTATTTTTGGTTTTATATTGAAAAACAAATGAACGAATGATACACAGATTTAATCCATTTATATACAGTACAAACGCTGTACAAATACACAGAGTCCTAGTGCCTATTGAAAAGCATAAGAGAGATCAGGCCATGCTCTCTATAGCGCGCTGTAATAATCCATGGCCCTCGAGTTTGTACATGCTCTGAGTACGTCGGATAAGAACAGCTCCGCTCTGCTCATGTGTAAAATCTACATTCACCTCTTCCCCCTTGGGCTTTGGCTGCATCGCTAACGAAGGAGCGCCGCTTTCACTGCTCCTGTCTCCTCTTCACTTCACACTGTGCTCGTTTCACCTCCGTGTGATTGTGTTTGGAGAGCAGAGGCGATACTCAAACATATTTTACTTTGTAGAGTTGCGTAAATTCTAGACTATAACCCGCTACTTTTTTTTTTTTCTCACACTTTGAACCCTGCGGCTAATAAAACGATGCGGCGAATATATGGACGGATTCTTTGTTTGGCACGTTGTCCATTCATATATACCAGGGGTGCTCACACTTTTTCAGCATGCAAGCTACTTACAAAATGACCAAGTCAGAATGATCTACCTAATACAAAGCCAAGCAAACTGCACTGAAACACTCTGTGCCCCTTTTTTGGACCCTCACCCACAGTTTGAGAACCTCTTCTTTAAGAGAACTTCCTCTGGCACTTTACACAAAACTGTGAAAAAAGTGAAGGAAGATTTTTGAACCTGTTTTTAAAGTTCCAATCTGGAGTTGCATTCTTTTCTGGTTTTGCAGTGATATTTACCAGCCTCTGCACGTTTACCAAACCAAACACAGATGCATTTGTGCACTTTTGTCAGGCGAACTTCAGCCAAATGTGCAGTAGGTCTGTTCTATGCTGTAGACCTGCTTTGTAACACAAATTCTCACAAATTCAAAGACTCAGTTTTGCTTCACTTTTCGTCTTGCTCTTCTAATCAGCGCACTGTGGAAGGGACTTGTTTTCGCTGTACACAGGAAGGAGCGAGAGCGTGAAAAGGCGAGGGGCGGCGTGCTGACGTGAGGCAGATGGACAGGTAGGATGTTTAGGAAGTTGAACCTGCCCTGTGATGCACGCTGGTACACGAGGGCACACGCTGTCGCAGACGAGCCGTGCATAGGGAGCGTGTGTGTTTGTGATGTGCCGTAGAGTCTCCGCGGGCTGCACTGAGCACACAGGCTGCACTGAGACGCCCCACGTGCTTCTGCAGCCCGCTACAAGTTTATTACCAACAGCAGCGGCCGTAATGAAATATGATCGCACTTGTTGAGTGTCAGGACCTTGAGTGAGAGACAAGACCGAGTCCAAATGCAAGTCCAAGACGAGTACTAAGAGGCGATCTACCCACACGACCTTGGCGATCGACTGGTAGATCACGATCGACGTATTGAGCACCCCTGATATATACGGTCTACGGTTTGTTAACACAGTGGATACGTGCAGCCTATAGTCCGATGAGGTTCATTTGGTCTTACAATAATTTATGTTATTAGGTTCTTTTTTCAGACCAAGAGTTTGTTTTCATGCCTGACAGTTTCGACTGCTCACTAGCGCTCTTCCTCAGAGTGGTCACGTGATGTTGCTGTGACGTGTCCGTTCAGCTGATTTAAACCGACTTTGGCGCTGTCTTTCTACCGGCGGAGGCAGGACGACAGCGCCATCTGCAGTCCGACTTCCTCAGGACAGTATCCCAGTTGTGTGAGAGTCAAAAAGCCCCCTCGTCCCGGTTTATCGTCCCGTGGGCACATTTCCGTATTTCGATTGCCTCTTTAATCCAGCGACGATGTTTGTTTTCCTCTGTCCCGATGATGTTTGCTCCATCCCAGTCCATAATGAAATGGAAACGATTTGAGTTGTTCCTGTTCTGCTTTGTGTTTTGTTGCTCATGTTTCGCCTTCGCTGTTTCCTTCTCGCATTCTGTTCTATGTTCCTTTTTTCGTGTATTGAACGCCCTCCCCGTCTCCCCGATGTGTGTTTTATTGCAGGACATGCAGGGTATTTCGTATATGACGTTACATTTATGCTCCGGTTCTATTTTGTCTTTCGGGTGGACGAGTAGTTGCCTGAGTTTTCTGTTCGGTTTCACTGGTGTGTTGATATTGTGTTTTCTCATTGCTCTCTGCACTTTTTCTATTATGCCCCTGATGTATGGTAAAGTTACCACGCCTGTGCTCTTATTTTCCGTTTTATTTTTGTTTTTCTGGTTCTGTTTCTCTTCCTCTCTAACCTGTTGTTTCCCTTTGTTTATTGCCCATTTTGGGTATTGGGCATTGCCATAGCGGATTATGAATGTGTCTGTCTTCTTCCTGTTTGTCCCGTTCATCTGTTATGATATACGTGCAGCCTGAGTGCAGAAAACTCACACATGGATCTAGAGTTAACCCGAAGTTGCTACACTAGCTAGAGATATTGTTCATGCACTCAAATAATTTATCGCCGTGTCATAAAATAAGTTCTGATGCGAAATGAACATTAGTGAGGGGGATACGTCTTACCCGTATGTGTAAATGATGAGAAGAAATGTCTTAAACTTCAGCAGCCGGACATCCACTCATACCTGATTGACACATCTAACCCCGCTTACGAGAGAGTCTGAAATCTGCTGAAATCCTCCAAGACACTGACATGATACAGACAGGACAGAGACTCTTTCTCCTGGAGACATGTGCCAAGGAAGATGCTCGTTTGATTGTGTTTTGAACAGTTTTTTTGTGCTTCAAACACACACACTCCTCATGGAAAACACAAGAAGAAATGCAAATGATGCAGCTTTTAAGTTAACGACAATTAATGTAAAGGTGATCGATGTGACTGTGGAAGAAGGAAGCAGAGCCGCTGCACGTGATCTCGACAGCAGTGAGTCGATGGTGAGATGTTGGTGACGAACTGACTCAAAGCAAAAAGACGACAAAAGCTTTCAGAGGCGATAAAAGCAGACGGCCCGAACTTGAAAACGTTTTTGAAGACGTGGACACCTGCGGCTTGTTTTCAGGTGCGGCCTATATATGTATAACTTTAAAATTTAGTTGATGCAGCGTATATTCAGGTGCACTCAATAGTCCGGAAAATACGGCAGCTTTTTGGGTTGTTCCAATACCGGTACCGCACATTTTTCAAGCATCTGTATCGGCAAGTGCTCCGACCAAATCATCAATCCGATACCGCTTTGTATTTTCCACAATGAGGACCTGTAGATGCGAGCAGCCGCTGTTGAAGTCTGTGAGCGGTTTAAATAAAGATAGTAACAAGCTAATATAGGGTGACAAGACGTTCCTATTTACCCGGGACAGTCCCAGGTTTGAGCTCTGTGCCCCTGTCCCAGCAGATTTATCCAAAACCACTGATTTATACCTTTTTTTTTTTCAAGAAATGCCCAAGATATTCCTATTTTTGACAAATTTGATACTTACTAACAGTAAAGAGAGGCATACATTCTAATGTGTTTCGGTAAAATACAGAAAAGCTGCTTAAAAACGACCAAAACGCAAAGAAATGTGACTATACTGACTCACATGTGGCCAAGTGTATAACAATTTTCATTAATTACACACTCATTTTACAATTTTATTATTACCAACCAACAAAAAACCAGGGGATGTCCCAGTTTTGTTTTTTTTTGAAATTCTGGTCACCTTACACTAATAATGACAGAAAAGATATTTGTGTGACCTCTCTTTTAGCCTTTTGTGTGGACACTGAACCTTGTAAAATAACTAAAGAGTTATAATAAAACGAATGAAAGAAAGAAATCGGAGCCCGGCCTCACCTCTGTACAGCAGCCATTCGATCCAGTGTTTGAAGTCTCTCAGGTTGCAGTCACATTCCCAGGGATTCTGCCCCAGCTCCAGACGCTGCAGGTTCACTAAAGGTTCAAAAGCCGCTCTCTCCAACGCGTGCAGCCTGTTCCCCGCCAGAGATAACCACCTGGAATACAACATATACATACAAGAGGATTCAGATAAACGAGCGAGTTTCAGTTACTATTTTTTTATTATTTGTTCTTTGTCAAAGGTTAAAGCTACACTTTGTAACTTTTTGTTTCGGAGTCCGTCACCTGCTTGTTTCTGTGGATATTAGGGGTGTAACGGTGCACGAAAATCACGTACGTACCTCGGTTTTGAGGTTATGGTTCGGTTCATTTTCGGGAACAGTTTGGGAACCATTTACTTGTTCTTTGTTTGTGCGTTTATTAAACCAACAATTTGTTTTAACATTATACAAACGGGCTGTTGGTGGGCTGCTTGGTAATACTAATAAGTTAATAAGCACTAATAAATACTAATACTAATAAAATACTAATAATAAAATAAAATACTAATAAAAACTAATAAATACTAATAAGTAAACAAGTAGGTGTGTTAGTTTCAGTTAGTTAGCTCCTCCCTGTAGATATAAGGAAGTGTCCACCAGCGTCTGACCAGAACTGAAGAAGCAGCTTGGATGAGCTGCGAAACGTCTTCAACCAAACTAAATTTTGTCCAGTCGACAAACTGAATTTTTCTCCTCATGGATTCTACCTGGACGACTGAGGGATTCTTCACACTAATAAGTTAAATAAAAAATATTCTCAAATAAGCCACAAATGTATGGAATATGTATTCCTTGTAAACAGTAAACAAAACTTTCCAAAAAGTAAAGTGCAGCACTAACAGTTCCAGCAGGAAGTTTTACTCAATCTTCATATTTTTGGCCAGAAACAACAACTGGTCCAGATTGTCTGCAGTACGTACAGATCTGCTGCAGTTACAAGGTCCCCAGCGGTTGAAAATAGGGATGAGGGGTGGGCGGAAATTCCTTGTTGGCGAAAGGTGAAAGTGAGGACCGCGGCGTGACGACCATAGTTTTGTGAGGATTCCCGTGGTTCGGAGGGACGTAGTCAAGGCGAGGGGCAATTGCTGTCAAGCCGGCCGCCCTAACTATAAAGCGCCGCGGGAGTTCCCTCGTGAGTATTAAAGAGTCGAGTTTTCTGTGTAGCTGCACGTGTAGTGGCGAAATGTAAACACACACTAATTGCGGGGACTCACTCTTGCTCAGCCCTGCACCGAACCAAACATCCCGTACTGAAACTGTTCGGCACGAATACATGTACCACTACACCCCTAATGGATATGTTATTACTTACTGGAATATTCCACAGTATGACATTAAACAGATCTACCTCACATTTGTCAAATTACAGGTGGATTTACAGCTCAAAAATACCTATAAAAACAGACATTTTAATTGTGAGCGGGTCGCCTCGTCACAGATCTGAACTGTAACTTGTCTAATTTAGTCTCCATGAAAATAGGCAGATTTAATAAAATACTGTGAAACATTTCAGACAAAGAAACAACATATGTATGGAGAAAAGCATTTGACCAGAAAAGTTACACAATGCACCATTAACAAACATACATATAAACAAACAATCTTACAAAACTGCAGAAGAGTTCATACGAAATCAACTGTTTATACATTAAAGTACTGAAAGTGTGTATTAATATGAAGAAAATGTATATTAAACCAATTATTCCCTTTCAAATCTTCAGCTCACTCACCGCATTTCTTGCTGTTGCTGCTGTTACCTCATATAAAAAAAAAAAAAAAAACTAATCTAACTAAGACAACATGTACTGATTAATTGGCCTATCATGATTCCACATTTTGAAGCCTGATATTTTGCTTGTTAGTTTTAGTATTTTGTTAGTTATTCAACCCTCTACAACTCAAATTTTCTTGTATTACAACATAAATACGGCACTTTTACAAAGAAATTGCAGACACGGTAAATATTAGGTCCCAAATTATATTCCAGCTTTCATATATTGAACAATAAGTCGATGTAATAAGTATATAGCACAGCCCTAGTTCCACAAATAAAAAGCTGAAGGTTATTTACGAGGAATAATACTAGAAAATGTTGTATTTGTTATTTAATCTCTCAATCAGCAGTGTCTTCCCTGTGGCGTCTCTTGTTGTTGCTTATCATAATCTTGATAATAAAGTCCAATGCAGTGATGGGGGTTTTGTGTATGCGTGTGCTCACCTCAGGCTCTGCAGCTCGTCCAGCAGACCCAGTGGAACAGTCGAGAGCCCGTTCAAGGACAAATCCAAACTCTGGAGTCCTCCCAAACCCTGAACAAATGAACCACATCAGCTCAAAGTACAGGACACTCACTGCGGCCAAAACCTGTGCTCCCTATAGTCCAGGCCAAGAAATAAAAGCAGTATCTTATGCAAAGTAAAGTTAAAGTCCTATATCACTGTATGTTACCTCATCAAAAACAGACCTGGAGTTGTGTTTTGTTTTGTGACGTAATAACCGAAATATCGTGATATTGTATCGTCAAAGTTCTCACAATAATATCATGGACCATCACAATATATCGAATTACAAGTTTCTTTGCTTAAATTAAGAGTTATGGTGCAGCAAAAGCCAGTTAGTTAGACTCCACAAAATATCGCAATAAGTATCGTACCGTGAGATGTATATCGTGAAAATATCGAACCGAGAGATTTGGATATTATTACATCCCTAATCGTGAGCCTCCCCACCATATCGTGAGTTTTCCCGCGATATAGCAATAAATATCGTATCGTGAGGTTCACACCGTGGCGATATCGTATCGTGAGACTTGGATATCGTTACACCTCTAGTTTTGTTTCATTCACACGTGCTTAACACAAATCCTACATATTTAGACTGAGTTCTTCTCTCAAAAAGAAAATACTCCATTCTACCTTGTGATGTCATGTCGTGATATAGGAAGTGCTCCACTGTGTTTTTAAACTCCACACACCTTCGCTAGAATCACTGAGGCAATTTCAGCTAATCTTGAATACCACTATGTGACATCACAAGGTGGAGCAGAGCATTTTGAGCTTTGGAGATGTTGCCAGACTAACTAAAAAGAGTTACTCAAACATGTGTGAATGAAACTAAATACAACTCGAGGTTTGTTTTTGTGCCGGAGCAGTAATATGGCTGAACCCCTTAATGCCAACTGTTACAAATATACGACAAACCATTTGGATCAAGATATAAGCCGAGACAGCGGCTGCATTGCCCCAGTGCCGGTTAGTGCATATGCAGAACCTTCCTTCGAACCTGTGGGAAATATTATGTGTTGGTCATGCTAATTCACCCAATATTATGGACTTTGGAATGACAACAGGGTGGAAAACACGTATGACTATCTATAGGTCTACATAACTTGTTTTTTCTGTACTTTGAGTGCCATAAAGAACATGTTTTTCTGGACTTTGAGTGCCACGAAGCAGAAAAACTGACATATGTGGACCCCGTGGCATGTTCCCACCCATGATAAGGTGTACTGGGTCAGCAGTATTGTTCATTTTCTTGCTGTATATGCTAAATCAACAAGTTAATGTTTTGTCAAGAAGTAGTATAAAGCTACCCCTGATTTTGAGTTGGTCAGAGACGTCGTTCCGGGGTGGCAGTTGTACTTGGTAATCAACTTGAATCTCTCTCAATGGAAATGCTGAAATAAAGTGGCCTGTTCTCTCGGATTCTCCATCTCTCGTGCTTCTTTTTAGGATACGCATTGAACCTTCCGAAAAAACCCACAAACCTTTGGCAAGCACTTGTTTCTAGTTGGCGCAAATTTGCAACATACCCAAATTTTTACATGTATATATTTTTTGCTATAGTCAAATGAATAATCTCAACTTAATTTACCATCTACTTAAAGGCAAAAACACACACAACATTTTTTATTTTTTTTATATACAACTATATATATTCAAGCGTTAAGGGGTTAAAGCTCAGAAGAGTCAAATTTGCGTAATATAGAAGCATCAAAATGTTGGTTGAGTAGAGATTGGTAATCCAGGGCTGCCATTATCGAAATGATTAATAACGAAGGTGTATGGAGTTTAAAACACAATGGAGCACTTCCTGTTAGGGGTGTGCAAAAATACCGAAATATCGTGTTGTTTAATTTGATGATACGGTATCGATATCAGGGACTACTGTATCGAAATATCACCAAGAGTATTTGTTGGTATATTTTACTAAATTATTTTGTTACAGTGCTACAGTTTTATTGCTTGTTTAGAGGAAGGAAACTCGTTTATGCGACACATTTAAGATTTTCACAGTTTTTATGAATAAAATGTTTGTGTTTCAAATGATTTAACAAAGACTTTTAGTATCAGAGACATGATTAGCCTTTATTTTTTATTGAACCGCATCAAATCGATTTGAAATATATCATGTCGAACTGAAAGTGCACTGTATCGAGATGTGTATCCTATCGGCAACTTCTTAAAGATATCCAGCCCTACTTCCTGTATTACCACATGACATCACAAGGTAGAACAGAGTGTTTTCTGTTTGAGAGAAGAACTCAGCCTATAAATATACGTATGATTTGTGTGTTAAACATGTGTGAATGAAACAAAACACAACTCCGGGTCTGTTTGTGGTGAGAAAACAAGATTATAACAGAAAATAGCGCGATATGGACGTGTTAAGATCTGCAGTTCAAGGCAAAACGTGATGCGATTATCAAGTTTTATCCAATCGACAGGATTAGAGTAGGTGCTGAGCTATTGTTTTTTATAATCTGGATTTACGCCAAATGCAAAACAATCGATAACTTGTCCAATACAGAGAAATTTCCCTATAGGACGATAAAGTCTACCTTGCCCTTTATTTTTTTTGTGCTTCCAAAACATAAAGATAAATGATAGTGCGTAAGATTAAAAATGTACTGAAATGTAATAGAATTGTCTAAGGATAGGGTGAGGTGCTGAGGGTAGCAGTCACGCCCAAAAACAAGATGGTCCCAGGTTTGATTCTCAAAGCAGGTGGAGTCTTTGTGTGTGGAGTTTGCATGTTCTCGCTATGTCTGGGGAATTTGGACATTTTAAATCTTAATATTAATCTAAAATTACTTAATAAAATAAACAAATCTGCTACTACTACTACATTAGAAAACTGCAGTACCTAGTGGAAGCTGATGTCACTGTTGTCTCGGGCCCAGAATTAGACCTGCTTCCTAACAGTTTATATTAGAAGGGGGCCCGAGTGTGTCTTCTTGCCCCAGGTCCCCAAATTTCTGCTGGCGGGCCTGGTTGCACATCACATTAGCAAGCAGCAGATTTTTTTTCATTTGTGCCGAAATGACAATGTGACGTTGTTGAATATTAAGTGTATCAGTGATTAAGAAAATAAAATTGGAGAATCAAAGTAAGTACAGAGAAGTGGGCGAATACCAGGGATAGTGAAGACAGGAGTTGATCGACGATATGGCGTCTTGAAAATAAGCGATTAAAGATTGCTCAAACATGCATGAATCACTCCAAATATTATATACTATATACTTTACTATGTGGAAACTGTCTGGCATTAGGATTCATTCGCTCAATGGTAGATGGGTACTTTTTTTTTTAACCAATCGCTGCTATTTGGTTGTGACGTATGTAATGCGCCAAATCCTGAAGGAAGAAGAAGAAGAATAACTTCTTTCCCCTTGATAAAATTCACCAAATATTCTCTTTGTTCTGGCTTTAAATCCTCGATCTTGGGAATCATTGCCAACACAGAATGTACGTCTTCGTCTACATCCATCTCGACCGCTTTGTTTACTGTTTTGCTGTACCACAAAAGGGACCCAGACATGGCTTCACAGCTCTTTGCTGATTGGCTGGTGCGTGGTCTACAACTTCCAAGGTTCTTGCAAATTGTCTAGTGTATTCTGATTTCTGAATTAGCCGCTGGAGAGAAATTAAATTGAGCGGAGGCACCAGCCTTTCTATCCAAATACAACTTCAGATGAGTGAATGATGAGGGGAAACAACTATAATACAGCCAAAAGCCCTAAAACGTTATTTTGCTTAATATGTCTGCTTTAACAAGAAAGTTGAGTACATAAATATTAAGCTAGATGCCCATTAGAACTCCTGACCAAGATCCATGCTTCAGTCTGGATCAGCGTCCCCAAACAACAAACAACCCACTGGCACTGAAGAAAACAGGACACAAATGCAGAAAATTTGACGATAACTTCAAGGGGACAAATAATGTAAAATGGACTTTTATGAGTTTTTAACCATGTTACAACAGTGTTCCTTCATTATTACCTCACTCTGAGCTGTGTTTCATTTGATTCACGGATGTTTGTGTAATTCTGTGTTCTCTATTTGAGGCTTGAGCGCTCACAGAATTAGTTTTCATCTATCCTCTTTCTCCGCTCTTAGCTCTGCACTTACTTGTGATTATTCAGAATAGTCCGATTTTGGGTCATGTAGGGTTCAAACTGCGGATAAACTAAATATATCTTTTGATGGGAAAAAGCCATCAAAATGTGGCATATAACAGGAAGCAGAAATCCATGAATTATTAATCTCGGAGTGGAACGTCAAAAAACATTTCTGATACCATGGAAATCCGCCAAGTTTGTAGCAGTAATGTAAAATGTTCATAGAGACTCATTAGCCGAAAACAAAGTTAAAGTAAACGAAAGTGCGGTGGATCAACCTGATAAACTGCTGAGTCACTATTGGTCTATGTCAGAAAACTTTTGAATGAACATAAAGTTTAGTTTTTACCGTAGCATAGTTTGCTTATTAACAGTGATTAAATGAGGTAACCAGTAAGATTTGTTGTAGTTGTTGCCTTCTTGAAACGAAACGTCTTTTGTAGGGATGTAACGATATCTAAATTTCTCGGTAAGATATTTTCACGATAGGCATGTCACGTTACGATATTTATTGCAATATTTTGTAGAAGCTAACAGAATTATTTTGGTTCTGTCATAAATCAAAGAGTTAAGATTTAAAAGTACTTAATAAGTGATTTCATTGGACTGGAACAGAGCAGAGGATCATGGTCTATGTAGTTCCCTCTGTTTCTTTTAGCTTTTGCTGCACCAAAACAATGACTTTAAGCAAAGAGACTTGTAATTCTATATATTGTGATGGCCCATTATATTATTGAGAGACAGTTCTTCAGATAACTATAGCATAAATTACATAACATAACAAGTTTACCAAACTCTCCATCTTACTCCAAATCACAAAATCTTTCTTCAAAGTGCTCAAATGTGTTCGATTGAGGGCCTGTTTACACAAGAACGCTTGCGAGTGAAAAATTCAAAATATTTTATCAAAAGTGTCTTTCGTTTAGACCAGGGGTGTCAAACTCATTTTGGTCCAGGGGCCAGATGAACCTACTTTGATCCCAAAGGGGCCGGATCAGAAAACTCATGGAATTAAACCCCAAAATAGCAATAAGTTCAAATATTTTTGCAGAGAAACACAAATCTAATACAGAAATCTTTTTTTAATTGATGAACTCTTTCTTTTACAAAATATTATAATATTATAAACCTGAAACTTTAAGAAAAATACAATTTCAACACAATGTTTTAACTTGTGTGCAAATAGGAATAAGTAAATTTTGGGGGGAAAATCCTGCACTCAGCATTCACTTTTCTCATTCTTGACATTTTGTTGATGAGGGTGTCACGGTCAACAGTCAAAACGATCGTCCTTTAAGAGCTTTTGGAAAGAGACAAGTCTTTATTTGTGCTGCTCTGGTGGGAGGCAGCCATGCACAGAGACACTGGAGACGCTGCTGTGATACACACCACAGAAAATTACCAATATTTTAATAGAAAATATAATTAAAATTTAGTAGAAAATCAGCCGAGGGCCAGATTAAAGGTCTTGGAGGGCCGAATCTGGCCCCGGGGCCATATGTTTGACACCCCTGGTTTAGACGGTGATGGCATTTTTGGGGCTTAAAAATGCAAAAATCTAAAACCACCTCCAGAGTGGAAAAATTTTACACTCTCTGCTGTGGTGTTTCCGTCTACACTGCCCAAGACGCAAAACTCTGGTCAGATCTGCTCAAGCCGCGTACACTTTTTACGTCACGTACACATCACGACCTGGCGTACATACCCAATTGAATTTCACACACTTTTGCATCACTGTATGCACGCAGATTTCCTCCTGAAAACACTTAGTGAAGACGCAGCGCCACTTTTCCGTCTTCTGTTCAGACCATCATCATATAAACGTCGCCAAATTGACAAATCAGGTGTAGAATTTGGGGAGAGAGTTTCAGCTCGAGTTTCTGAGTTACTTTTCTGACTTTTGCCGCGTTCATGGACATATTTCAACTCGGAAAAACATATTCCCAAGTTCCCAAGGACCACATGAACGCAGCATAACATTAGACTCACTGAAAACTCTATTCTGTGTCACAACCCCGAGCTCTATTAGACCGATTTAGTCCAACATCGCAGTTTATAATGAACAAAATGTAAACTAACAATCGAAGTGTGCTAGTTTATTATAGTGTAGTGTTACGCTAATCACATTGCAGTGTTCTTGGAGGCACATGACTTGCATTGGCAGCCGGTAAAGGGCATTCGATCTAAAAAATCTTTGCCATATCACTAATTGCTGCACAGCGAGGAGTAGAAAATGCTATGCCAGCCACACTCCGCACTTACATTACAATAGAGCCATGATTGCCTCTGGATGCAGCGGCGTACGAGCGTCTTTACCTGAAACAGCTCTCGGTCCATTCCCGTCAGCGAATTGTTATGCAGAGTGAGTCTCGTCAGGTTGGACATGTCTCGGAATAATCCTCCCGGTAAATTATCCAGGTAGTTGTTGGAGAGGTCCAGCTCCTAAAATACACACCACACGTTTGGTTATAAATAGACCCAAGCAGTAATTAGACACATACTCACTGCAACGTTTGGTGGAAATTTAAAGGTGAGAGGGTCTGCTACCTGCTCGTCTCCATGGAGAAGTGATTGCATTGTCTGGAATGTTCCGTGGTATGACTTTAAACTTATCTATCTATTCATTACTGGTGTTTCTATTTCTCAAAAAATGCCGTAATTCCTTCTGTGAATAGGGACGTCGCTCCACAGATCTGACTTGTAATGTAGTGTAGTGCTGTAAGCTGCTTGTCTTTCTTGTGAAAATCTCCATGGAGACATCAGGTGCCGGACCCTCCACTAGAAATGTTACGCAGTGCACCTTTAAGTCTTTTCTTTCCATATTAGATGCCGTATATTTTTGGCAGATAATGTGTTCAGACTTTCCATACTCCTTCCTATTTCATGTATTTTGGTTCTTTAGACTTTAGACTAGATGATTTCAGGTCATTGTTTTGCAAGTCTCAAGTCTTTGACCTCAAGTCCGAGTCAAGTCCCAAGTCAAAGACAGGCAAATCCAAGTCGAGTCTCGAGTCACTGGCCCATAAGTCCAAGTCAGGTCCAAGTCGTCTGCTTTGAGCTTCAAGTCATTTGAAGTCTTTAAACCAAAATACCAAATATATTGTTGTGGATCCGGCTACAAGTACAATGGAAAAAATGTACGAGCGATAACTTCAGTTAAAAAATGGCTTTACTGAAAAAAATTTGCCAGTGTCAAATCATCATATTTCTGTTACAACTCACTACATTCTATCTAACATGTTTTTTTTTTTTTTTTTTTTTTTTTTTATAACTTATAACGCAGTCTTCATCAGCTGAGGGTTTAAAAAACAACATCCTTTGGAATACAGAGAACCAGCGCCATCTATAGGTGAAATATCTGGTGCTACAACTGAAGAAAAATAATCCTTTTTTGGTTTTAAATAACAAATACATACTTTTAAACATTAACGTGTAATAACAAATGAATTAACCATTTTTTCTAAACCTTTTTAAACAAAATATTCAACATATATATCTTAGATTTTTGCAATTTATATACATTTTAAACTGAATTATACAAAATTATACTATATATGAGTATTTATAGAGTATATAAGAGTATTCAAAATGCAGACTTTTCCTTTTTAAATGTCTTGACAAGATCTTAGTGTGAATCATTACGGTCAGAATAGAAAGAATTCAGATTTAAAAGTGCTTCTTAAGTATTCTCAAGTCACAGGCCTCAAGTCCAAGTCAAGTCCCAAGTCTTAGTCCATTTTATCAAGTCAAGTCTCAAGTCTGACTCGAGTCAAAGTCATGACTTGCAGGTCCCCACCTCTGCTTCTTAGTACTGAGTAAGTAGTAAAAGTATCGGAAATCAGATACTAATCGATACTAAAAGTAACGAAAGTAGATCTTCATTTGAGCAGGTGTCAGTACTGAAGAAGTCACATTGACAGGACAGAAAAGAACCTTTCCCTTTAGAATGATCTTGAGCTGTATCAGAACTGTCTTTTTACTGTTGTGAGAGAAAGCTAATACTTTGACTGTGATCTGAGCTCTTACAGTTAGTTTAGTCATATTTATTTTTTTAATGAAATGGTGCACATTAAAGGTAGTTTGATTCATCAGTCTGACCTCGCAGCATTAGGATTCATTTGCCTGATGATAGGTGGGTACTTTTTAAATTTAACCAGTCGTTGCTATTTGGTCGTGATGTATGTAATGCTCTAAATCCCGTCGGAAGAAGGGCAATAATGTTTTTCCCCTTGATAAAATTCACCAAACATTCTCTTTGTTCCGGCTTTAAATCCTCGATCTCGGGAATTGTTGCCAACACAGAATGTCTGTCTTCGTCTACATCCATCTGAACCGCTTTGTTTACTGTTGTGTTGTACCACAAAAGGGACCCAGACAGGTGCTTCACAGCTCTTCGCTGACTGGCCGGTGCACGGTTTGCAACTTCTGCGGTTTTTGCAAACCGTCTAGTGTATTCCGATTCCTGACCTAGTCACTGGAGAGAAATGAAATTGAGCGGAGGCACTAGGTGGCACCAGCTTAGCTACATTAAAGGGTCCATATCACACTATTTTCTGATCGTATAATGTTGGTTTCTCATCACAAACAGACCTGCAGTTGTGTTTTGTTTCAGTCACACATGTTTAACTCACCAATCCTGCATATTTAGGCAAGGCAAGGCAAGGCAAGTTTATTTGTATAGCACAATTCGTACACAAAGTAATTCAAAGTGCTTTACAGAATAAGAAATACATTAAAATCATAATAAAAACAAATTAAAACATAAATAATCATGAAGATTAAAATTAAAAAAGAGAGACATAAATTGGAGAGAAGAGTGCGGAATGAAAACCTTTCAGTCATATGCACAGTCAAACAGAAATGTTTTGAGCCTGGATTTAAACAGCGTCACAGAAGAGTCTGTCTCACATGTTCAGACTGTTCCAGGTTTTAGCTGCATGAACCTGAAACTCTGACTCCCCTTGTTTAGTCGTGATTCTGGGCACCAGCAGGAGGCCGGTCCCTGAGCTCCTCAGAGTGTGAGATGGTTCATATGACACTAACATGTCACAGATGGACTTTGGTGCTCGGCCATGGAGAGACTTGTACAAGCAGAGCTGCTTTAAAGTCTCTGAGGCACAGGAAGCCAGTGCAGAGACCTGAGCACAGGACTTATGTGCTCGTACTTCCTAGTTCGAGTAAGGACCCGAGCTGCAGCGTTCTGGATGTTCTGGATGTTCTGGATGTTCTGCAGCGTCTCACAGCTCGTTTGGAGAGACCAGTGAGCAGAACATTACAGTATCTAACCTACTGGAGACAAACGCATGGATAAGTTTCTCCAAGTCTGCTTTAGACAGTAAACCTTTGATTTTTGCTATGTTTTTTAGATGGTAAAAGGCTGCAGATGTTATTGATTTGATGTGGCTGGTAAAATTCAAGTCTGAGTCCATTACTACCCCTAGATTTCTTGCCTGATTTGAAGGTTTTAGAGCGAGAGACTGGAGGTGATGCTGACACTGTCCCTTTGTTTCTGTGGACCAAACACTATGACTTCAGTCTTGTCAGAGTTTAGCTGGAGAAAGTTGTTTTGCATCCACACACTGATCTGTTGGATGCAGTGACCAAGTGAGTCCACTGGTCCATAGTCTCCAGCTGCCAGAGAGATGTAGATCTCAGTGTCATCTGCATAACTGTGTGGTCGGACACGTTATTGCTGCTTATTAACTGGCCTAATGGCAGCATGTAGAGATTGAACAACAGGGGGCCCAGGATTGACCCCTGAGGCACCCCACAGGTCAGGGCCATGTGATCTGAGACACAGTTTCCAATTTCAACAAAATACTTCCTGTCTTCTAGATAGGACTTGAACCAGTTTAGTACAGTACCAGAGATGCCCACCCAGTCCTCTAGTCTCTGTAAGAGGATCCCATGATCGACAGTGTCAAAAGCAGCACTCAGATCTAACAGGATCAAGACTGAGACTTTGCCTGCATCAGTGTTCAGGCGGATGTCATTTGTCACCTTGATAAGAGCAGTCTCAGTGCTGTGGTGGGCTCTAAAACCTGATTGGAAAACATCAAAGGAGTTGTTCATTTGGAGAAAGTTCGTAAGCTGTTGGTAAACAGCTTTTTCAAGGACTTTACCAAAAAACGGCAGATTTGAGATGGGTCGGAAATTGTTCAGTACTGTGGCATCAAGACTGCTCTTCTTTAGGAGAGGCTTAATGACTGCAGTTTTCAACGCTAGGCTGAGTTCTTGTCTCAAAGAAAACACTCTTTCCACCTTACAGGAAGTACCACTGTGTTTTTAGATAATTTCAGCTCTGGATCATCCAATATCAACTGAACAAAAGGTAAATTAGCTGTTAACTTGAAAACTACCACGTGATGAGCATTTAGAGATGTAGACAGACTAATAATAAAGGATCACTCAAATGTGCGAATGAAACAAAACACAACTCCATTTATGTTTTGGATGTGGTAACAACATTATAGGATGACCTAAAGCTCATAAGAGTACATTTTGCGTAACATAGAACCTTTAATTGACACGCACTCAAACTACCAGGAGCACTGTTGAAAGTTCCTGTTATATTTTTAGTATTTTTTTTAAACTTCTCCAGCCTTTCTTAGTCATCTCTTGCAGTTTCTCAGCGTGAGTCTTCCACACTGTATTACTATGTCCTCAGGGAAACTCAGTGGGCGAAAGCACGAGGCAAACAGCAGCTCTCCACAGTATGTTCAGACTTATAACACCAGTGGCCCCGCGCTCACACTGCATAACGCGCAAGGAGTCCCGGCATAAGCCAAATCACCGTTCTGTATCACTGCTCTGCGGCCATCGCCATAGCAACGGGTAAACAACTGCTCTGGGTAGAATGTAGTAACTAGCCTCATTTAAAACGCTGAAATAACTGATGTTTTGGACATTTACAGACGGGAAACAGGCTTTTCACATTCAAAAGTGACACATTTCGGTTTGTAGCCGTCGTATAAGCTTATTATACAACTTGTAGCCGTGCGTTTTGTAGTTTTAATGCACCGCTCCTCGTTGTTTAATGCTTTTACATATCATTGCTCTGCTGCCATCGGCCTTACATCGCCATGGCAACGGGTATTCAACCACTCTGAGGAGAATGTAAGGACGAGCTTCATTTAAAACGCTGAAATAATTGATATTTGACACATTTACAGGCAGTGGACAAGCATTTTAGACTCACATGTGAGACATTTCAGTTTGTAGCCACGGTAAAAGTGAATTAAACAACGCGTGTTAAAGTGAGAAGTGCGTTAAAACTGCGTAAAGCACAGCTCCGAGTTGTTTAAAGGTGAACTGTAGGGCTGCTCGATTATGGGAGAAGTCATTATCACGATTATTTTGGTCAATATTGAAATCATGAATAGTCAAATGATTATTTTTTTAGTTACATGATGCATTTATTCAACATTTCTCTCTCTCAAAAAAAATCTAACACACTTTGTTATTGATAATTTACGCAAAACTTTTTCGAAAACTAAATTGAAAATAAATATAGGCTACAAATATTAACCTGCAATTTTGTGATGTATAAAACATAAAATTAATAAAATATACTCTGAATATGAATTAAGTCATAGAAAAACATAAATGTATCCAAAATAAACTATATCCAGCTGTTCTACAATCTCTACATTTAAAAAATAAAATAAATATACTTATTTATATTAAGTTCCACACTCACACCTGACCAGCGGCACGTAAATCGTTTCAACTCAATTATATGAGTTTGGAGATCGTTTGACACACAAATCGAAATCGTGATCAAAATTCAGTTAATTGCACAGCCTTAGTAGTCAGACTGGCGCCACCTAGTGCCTCCACTCAATTTCATTTCTCTCCAGCGACAAGGTCAGGAATCAGAATACACTAGATTGTTTGCAAAAACCCCGGAGTTCAGGCACCAGCCAATCAGCGAAGAGCCATACATTGTGTGTTGACAACGATTCCCGAGATCGAGGGTTTAAAGTTGGAACAAAGAGAATGTTTGGTGAATTTTATCAAGGGGAAAGACGTTATTCTTCCTACGGGATTTGGGAAAAGCTTAATATACCAGTTATCCCGCATTACATACCAAGCAGCAGCGATTGGTTAAATGCAAAAAAGTACCCGCCTACCGTCAAGCGAACGAATTCTTAATGCTGCGAGGTCAGACGGTTTTGTACTGATGAATCAGGCTACAACCTTAGTGCATTGTGTAAATTTTCATCAAATGTTTTTCCTCCATGGAAGTGTTGTTGCTTTGTCTGGAATGTTTCGCAGTATGGTATTAAACCTTTCTATCTTCATGGAGACCAAACCAGACCAAGTTACAGGTCAGATCTGTGGAGAACCGACCCTGCTCACAGTCAGAATGTCTGTTTTTCTAAGTATTGTTGAACTTTAAACCTACTTATAATTGAATAAATGCAAGGTAGAGCTGCTGAATGTCATACTGTGGAACATTCCAGAGCAGAGCAATGACGTATCCATAGAGACAGAAATAGCAGGTGATGGACCAGCAACCACAAAGTCACTGCACCTTTAACGCGTACCAAGACCACGGACACATCTCACTGAGTACAAACAGAAAAACACTGAGTGCAGACCTCCAGAGAGGAGAGGTTGGCGAAGGCGGAGGTCCCCAGGGCAGAGAGCTTGTTGTTGGCCAGCAGCAGCGAGCGACTCCCCTGGGGCAGGAGGTGCAGGGGGGGCAGAGACGAGAGACCCAGCCCCCCGCAGTTCACCACCTGACCGTCGGAGGAGCAGTGGCAGGGGGGCGGGCAGGGGGAGGCGCTGTGGAGCAGGGCGGCCAGCATACACAACACATGGAGGAAGACTGGAGAGAGAAAAAAGAGACAGAGAAAGAGAATATTTAGTTAGATTTGCCAGATTTGTAACACACCTGAACAAGAAATTCTGTTTTGTTAAAGCTGCATTGTGTAACTTTTCTTGTCTCCATGGAGATGCTATGGACAACGACTGGAGATAGAGAGAGAGAAAGAGAGAGACTATACTTACTGTAGATAGATTTGCAAGAATTGTAACAAGAAATGCTGTTTTGTTAAAGGTGCATTGTGTAACTTTTCTCATGGAGGGTTCACTACCTGTGTGTCTCCATGGTGATGTCAATGTTTTTATCTGGAATGTCCCAGTATGGCATTAAACCACAATGAAAAAAATGATAGTGATTAATTTTTTTCTTTTTTTTTCAGTTTTCGATTTTGTGTTTAAAAGACTAATGGAAAAAAAAAGGTTTCCGTGGCTTAAACTGCGATGCCGGACTTTTGCGCCGCATATGGACCGAACCAGGACTAAACCAGGTCTAAACCTGGTCTAAAACAGGACAAAACCAGGACTGATCCCAGCACTGAACCAGGTCTAAACCAGTGCTAAACAAGTACTAAACCAGGTCTAAAACAGGTCTAAAACAGGACAAAACCAGGACTGATCCCAGGACTGAACCAGGACTGAACAAGGACTAAAACAGGATTAAACGAGGATTAAACCAGGTCTAAAACAGGACTAAAACAGGACAAAACCAGGACTGATCCCAGGACTGAACTAGGACTAAAACGGGTCTAAACCAGGTCTAAAACAGGATTAAAACAGGACAAAACCAGGACTGATCCCAGGACTGAACTAGGACTAAAACGGGTCTAAACCAGGTCTAAAACAGGATTAAAACAGGACAAAACCAGGACTTGATCCCAGGACTGAACCAGAACTGAACTAGGACTAAAACAGTACTAAACCAGTTCTAAGCGAGGTCTAAAACAGGACTAAACCAGGACTAAACCAGGACTAGACCAGAGCTGAACCAGGACTGAGTGTTGGGACGGGCCGAGCAGTGCGCCGGCATAGACCATCAGGTGACTGCAGGTGCTTTGCAGACACTCTGCTCCGTAGGCCTGTTTCTCTCTCAAGTCCAAGATTAGTCCTGGCTTAGACCTGATTTAGTTCCCCTGGTTCAGTTCTGGGACCAGTCCTGGTTCAGCCCGTATGCGGCTTAAAAGTCCGGCATCTCAGTTTAAGTCACGGAAACGAGAAACGACCATTATATTCATTTAAACACAAAATCTAAAACTGAAAAAACTCATTTTTATCTGTTTTTTTGTTGTTGTTTTTTTTCTTATTTTTGGTTTTATTTTGAAAAACAAATGATACACTGATTCAATATCTTCATGGACAGAAGCAGGTGTTGGACCCTCCACCAAAAAAGTTACACAGTGCGCCTTTAAAGCAGACCTATTATTTAAAATGAACTTTTCAGAGCTTGTCGTAGTTGTTTTTTCTTCTCATTTACCCTCTCAAAGTTATTTGCAGTGATTCGTCTGTGTTTGAGTAATCTTTATTTACTTATTTTCAAGACCCCATTTTGCCAATCAGCTTCTTCTTCTACTTCTGTTTTCAAAGTCGTTCACTTCTTTGTACTTAGTTTTTATTTTCTTGTAGTTTTTGATGAGTATTGGGATTTAAAATGTCCAAATTATAACAATGATTTAAGGGTGTCGTGGATTATAATAATTGAAATCCTTTTTGTCCGTTCTCATTTGTAATTCTGGTCGCGGCAATTTGTTTTAATTTCACTTTCTTCGCTTATTAACTAGCCAAAGCTCTCGGTGTTTTGTTTTTCTTTGCCAGATTTCCTCAACAACCATCTGCTTATCTCCGTGTTTTCTTCCATCCCTCACAGATAAACAAACCCACCTTCTCTCTCTTTCTCTCTCTCTTTCGCTCTCACTTTCCTCTCTTTGTCTCTCTCTTTTACTTAACTCTCTCTCTCCCTCTTCTCTTTTGCGCTCTTTTTTTCCCCCTTTTTCTCTTCACCCTGGTCTCTGCTCCATCTCTCTTATCTTCTCTAACCCCTCCTCTCTCTCCTTTTCTCTGTCCCCTTATCTCTCTCTCCGCTCCCTCTCTCTCTGTCTTTCTCATCCCCTCTCTCTTCTCGCTCCCCCTTTCTCTCCCTCTTCTCCCTTTTCTCTTTTTCTCTCTCCCTCTCTCTATCCGTCTCTATCTCCTCTCTCCCCCTCTCCATCTTTCTGTCTCTCCCTCTTTTCCCTTTTTTCTCTCTCTCTCCTTTTGTTCTCTTTTTCTCTTTCTTCACCCCCTCTCTCACACCGTCTCTAGCCCCCCCTCTCTCTCTTTCTCCCCTCACCTTTTCTCTAAACCTTTCTCTTTTTCTCTCTCCTTCTCTCTATCTCCTCTCTTCCCTCTTTCTCCCTTTTCTCTAACCTCTTTTCTCTCTCTCTCTCTCTATCCTTCTCTATCTCCTCTTGCCCCCTCTCCGTCTTTCTCTCTCTCTCTCCCTTTTCCCTCTTACTCTCTCTTTTTCTCTTTCTTTACCCCCTCTCTCAAATTGTCTCTAACTCCCTCTCTCTCTTTCTCCTCTCACCTTTTCTCTAACCCTTTCTCTTTTTCTCTCTCCTTGTCTCTATCTCCTCTTGCCCCCTCTCCGTCTTTCTCTCTCTCTCCCTTTTCTCTCTTTTCCCTCTTACTCTCTCTTTTTCTCTTTCTTTACCCCCCTCTCTCAAACTGTCTCTAACTCCCTCTCTCTCTTTCTCCTCTCACCTTTTCTCTAACCCTTTCTCTTTTTCTCTCTCCTTGTCTCTATCTCCTCTCTCCCCCTCTCCGTCTTTCTCTGTTTCTCCCTCTTCTCCCTTTTCTCTCTCTCGCCTCTTTCTCCCCTTTCTCTACCCCTTTTCTCTTTTTCTCTTTCCCTCTCTCTGTTTCTCTATCCCTTCTCTCCCCCTCTCCGTCTTTCTCTCTTTCTCCCTCTTCTCCATTTTCTCTCTTTCCCCTCTTACTCTCTCTTTTTCTCTTTCTCTTTCTTTACCCCTCTCAGACCATCTCTAACCCCCTCTCTCTCTTTCTCCCCTCACTTTTTCTCTGACCCTTTCTCTCTCCTTCTCTCTATCCTTCTCTATGCCCTCTCCATCTCTCTCTGTCTCTCCCTCAACACTCTTTTCTTTCTCTCCTTGCTCTCTCTGTCTCTCTCTTCACCTCTCTCACCTTCTCTCTCGGTCTCCCTTCTGCCTCTCTCTCTCTAAGCTTCTGTGTCCCTTCTTTCTCTCTTTTCTCTCTCTTCTTGCTCTCTCTATCCCTCCCTCTCTCTCTTCACCCCTCTCTCTCGCATTCTCTCTCTCACACACCTTCTCTATCCTCTTCTCTCTCGGTCTCCCTCCTGCCTCTCTCTCACCCCTTCCCTATTTCTCTCTCTCTCCCTCTCTCTTTCTCTCTCTCTATCTGCCCCCCTCTCTCTCTTCACCTCCTCTTTTTCCCTCTCTCCTCTCTCTTTCTTTTGTTTATCGGTCCCTCTCCTTTTTAATTCCAGCGCTCTGTATTCCCCCAGCGTCTTGTTACAGCGGCTGAGTCTGCCTCTTCCCAAAGTCTTATCAGCACGACTTATTTACTCTTTATCTCCCTCTGCGTAAATATATTTGTGTTGTGTGTGTGTGTGTCTGTCCGTGTGTGTGTGTGCGTGTGTGTGTGTGTGTGTGTGTGTCCATGTGTGTGTCCATGTGTGTGTCACCAACAAAGCGTGATATTAAGAAAACTCTCAAATAACGTTTTGCTTTTTGCTTCTTGCACCGGCAAAAGTTAATAAAACTGCAGTAAAATTCATGGTATTGTTTTTTTCTGTCTGTCATTTGCTTAAGCCGGACGTTCACTGTGCGACATTTGACCCTTTTCTGAGCCGATTTTTAACTCGTGCAACTGTTTTTGGGATCGGGTCGAGTTTTGGCTTAATCATGTGCCGTGTTTCGTGTAGTAAACATGGGGAAACGAAAACTGATTAATACCTTACGACCGGCTTCTGATCGGCAATCGTAGGTCACAAGAAAATAAAAACAGTTTGAAATTCAGTGGTCTCTCGTGAGGGTTTCGCTCTGCTGAAGTCGTTCCATGAGCTGTGAACTTTTAAACCCTGAGATTTGGTCGTACAGTTTGAGCTGGAGCTGAGTGAAATGAAAGAAAATATCACACAGTGTTTTTACCATATTTTTTGGACTATAAGGTGCACCGGATTATAAGGTGCAATATCAGTAATGTTGAATTCTCACGTCTATTTTCATACATGAGGTGCACCGGATTATAAGGCGCATTAAGTGAAACAAACGAACGACACTTGAGACTGATCCCTTAGCCCAGGCGTCCACGATCCATCGGCAGATCGTGACGTAATTCGCCCGGCGTCGCCTCTCTGTCTTGGTGAATGTGTATTATGAATGTGAATGTGAGTGGATCATATAAGTTTTTTTTTTTTTTTTTTATTTCCTATGAGGACGACTCAAATATACGTTGAGTAATAATGTGTTCAATGCAGCTTCATGCGCACATTTGTTTACGTTTTCCAGAAAGGAAACTTAAAACCACATGACTAATCTGCATAAACCATAAGCGCTGAAAAAACAGTTCACTCCTTGTGCGCTGATGCTGTTCAGTTTCTGTCAGACTAAAGGACATGTTTTACTCCGTGAGGCTCCTGACTACAATAGCCGTAATGCGCTGGACAATCCATCAAGCTGTGCGGCTTTGTAGGCTACAAAAGTTGTATTAAAATATTTTGACAGATTTTTTTAATACATAAGGCACACCAGATTAGAAGGCGCACTGTCAATTTTTGAGAAAATTAAAGGATTTCAAATGCGCATTATAGTCTGAAAAATATGGTTATTAGTTGGTACATTTATACTATTTAAATGCTATGTATTCTTTAACTCATTTTGGATATTTTTTGTATTTTCTTGTTTTGCCACCTTGTAAGTAAAGTAAAATGATTTGCCACTGCAGTACATTTTTAATATCTTTTTTCAAAATGACAAACAAGCCATAAAA